TGCAGGGCCAGGACCCCAGAAATGGGGCCAAGTGGATGGGGCTGTACCGGGGCTCAGCCTGGGCTGGAGCTCAGGGTCTGGGTTTGGGACGGACTGTGCCGTAACTCAGGGGTCTGGCTCAGGGAGGGTGGGCCAGGTGAGGAGCGGGACATCCCTCACCGTGTCCCTGGTTCTTTATGCCCACCCCCAAGGTGTCTGTGTAGCTGGGTATGGACAGTCTGGAGGGAACGAGATCCTGCAGCTGCTCCCACCGCCAACGCTGCAGGCGAAGGAGACCCAGGTGGGTGTTGCAGCCAGGGTGGCAGCAGGCCTCTCTGTCCTCCTTGGCCTGGCGTCTTCAGAGACCGAGCTAGGGCTGTGCTGGGCTTCACAAGCTGTTTCTTGGTTTCCGTTGCTCTGACAAGGGCTTGGCCAGGTTTTGAACAGCTTTGGTGGAAAGGTAAGGCACATAATTCACCCGGCTGCTGTCCGGTTGAGGTAGCGCAGGTTGACAGTCTAGTCATGTAATCCTGCTGCTCTGCCAGCAGCTTGTGCCATGAAAACTTCACCTCCAGATGCATGAGTGAAAGCATTTTGTGGGGAAATAAGACAGATGAGGACACCAAGGCAAATGAAGAAGGGACTTGCTGAGATGCCTGAACCTGGGGGAGCATGCTGCTGAACAGTGAGGTTGGCCCTTGGGTGGGTGACCTCTACACTAAAGTAGAAGGTGTTGTTTGGTCACTGGGTGAGCAGAAAGCTTCTGAGCCAGACGTGCATGGATTGCAACGAACCTGGGCAGAGCTCTTGGCAGGAACTTTCTCCAGATTTTTTTTTTTTCCTCTATTTTGGGATCCTTCAATCCTATAGCTCCTGTTGAAAAAGGCATTACTGGACAGGCAAGAGCTTTACCAAGTGAGAGTTTGTCTTGTGTCTGTCTTTTTTTGTGCTAAACGACCACGCCAAGTTCTGCACCATTAAGTGTGAAGAAATGACTTTGCCTGTGATTTCTAGGGCCTCTGTCCAGAGAGGGATTTCAAGGTGGAATGTGGTGGATTTTCAAACCGCCCAGTCTACAGCCTGAAATATGTGCCGGACACCAGGTATGGCCACGAGGTCCTTCCAGGGCATATTGAAGATGGAGAGGGGCTTGTACACTGAGAGAGAGCTTGTTTTCCTTGCCTGCTTCCCAACCCAGCTGGTCGGTCCTGCCAGCTCTGAGAGCAGCCTGAGCCTGGGTGGGGAGTTGCTGGCCAGTGACACGTAGTGACCCTCCCTGTCTTGGTGTCTGGAGAGGAGCCGTCTGTCGGGGTGCTCAGCAAAAGGGAGTGCACCCACTGCTGCGGTACTGAAAGCCACAGTGGTGCGTCTTGTGGGGCAGCTGGCAGGGAAACTGAAGCTGCTGCTGGATAACTTGAATCCTCAGCTTCTTCCAGAAGTGAGCCGCAGGGGCTGCCAACATTGATGCTGGCTCACCGGGGATCCCTTCCTACCCCAATTCGGAGCAACAGTGGCCTGTATATCTTCCTTGATCTGCCTTTTCCATCCCTTCTTTCTGCATTTGGCGCTGTGTGGAGGTACTCAGCGGGCAGAGCAGGATACTAGTGGCTGCTGGCACTGCTCTGTAAGTCCCTGCGTGTGCAGGTTCGGAAGGTTTTTTTCCTGCTGTGGATTGTAGACCAAAACAAACACGCTTCCCTCTGGCTGATTCATTTCACTCCTTCAGCTCTCTCCACCTACCCAAGCCCCCGTTGCTACTTTGGGACTCTTTGCATCATTCTTAGTCTAGCGCTTTTGGAAAATGTGCTAATTAAATGCTGTTGCCTGGGACTGTGTTTGCCTGGGCTCCGTAGAGCACCCTGGCGTGAGGACTTCGGGGATTATGGCCCTTATGGCCCCTTCTCTGCTCCAAGCAGAGGCAAGAGCTCCTGAGCCCAGGAGGAGCAGCAGACCACTTTGTCCCAGGCCAGGGGGAAAAAAGGCTGTTCTCTGCTCCTGAAGAGTTTTGTGGGGTTCTTTTTGTTTCCTCAGCTTGCTGGTGACGAGCGGCCCACCAGACAGCTCCCTCCAGGTCTGGCAGGTGTCAGCAGAGGACTCTGGTAAGGGAACATATTTCTGAGCTTGAGTAGTTTCTCAATGTAGTCTTTGCGTCAAGCATCTCTAGCTTCCCCTTCTTCCTGGGTGTAAAATGAGGGGAGGAGTGAAGTGACAGTCCCGTTCGGTGAAGTCCCGAGTGGCTGCCCTTGAAAGAGAAGGGCACGAGACAAGTGCCTACACCAATTCTGGTGGCTTGGAAAGATGCAGACTTGACGGCACAAACCTCGTGAGGGAATTAGTAGGTTTAGACCTGTCACAGTGGCTTTCCACTTACTTATGAGCTCTTAGTCATACAAACAAAAACCCTAATCATAGCTGGCACAGCGTTCCCGTAATAACTCCAAGGGCTGGAAATAAAGAACTCCATACATCACCTTTCAGGACATACCGTGAACCACCCCAGTTCTCCAAGCCTGTGTCTGCCTGCTTCTAGAAGAGGACTGCCGTTGCTTTGTCTACTCTTGTGAAATACTTTGAAACCACCAGAAAGGAAGTGCAAAATGTTATTAGAAGTTTTCTTATTTTTCTTGGTTGAAAATAATGCTCTTGATTGACAACTTTCTATGCATTTTGCTAGATTTCAAATGGCTTGTTGTCAGTCCTCGCGGGATGTCTTGGAAAGAGGGGTTTTATTCTGGAGAGGGGGTTAGTCATCATTGGATTTCTTGTTGGTTTAGTATGTCACTTTTAGCTTTGTGAGGCATCTTTGTGAAACAGGTTAGTCTTGTGGATTACTTGACTCCTGATGTGTTTTACAGCTGCTTACATCTCTTTCAAATAGATGTGATTAAATCTGTAAGCGCCATACCTGCAGAAGACGGCACTGGGCAGCCTTGGGCTAAAATTGCAACTGTTTCGACCAGAGCCCCGTGGGTCCTTCACGGCTCAAGACTCAATAATGTCCAAATCACAGAGGTTGAATCGAGAAAAAATGTCTACATGGCAGGTATGCAAACCAAGCCTAATGTCTGATTTTTTGGAAAGTTAGGCTTTGGGTAAAGCAAGGGTAACTGCTCAAGTGGCAAACGTTTCGCTGGGTGGGTACTTTCAGACGTGTGCCAAAGAGCATAGAGCGATTTGCAGAAATTACATTGTCTTGAGGAAAAAAGTTACAACACTCTGGTCCATCTCCAGCTTCTCACTACTCCCATGACAGTGATTTCTCAGGCTTCTGCCCCAGATCTGTGCCCTGCGAGAGCGACGTAGATGGTTTCAGTGCAAAGAACTGGGTTAGCAGAGGGCAGCTGTGTACGTTGTCCCAAACAAGGGAGATGCTGGCCCCACAGTCGCATCACTTGGGGTTGTTGAAATTGGCATCAGTTCGCTTCTGAGCGAGCGCTGTGTTGCTCTGTGATCTGTCCGTGCGGCTGGGAGGAGGGATGATGCCAACCTCGTTAAACCAGCCCTGCCTCACCTCGAGGTGGTTAATCCAGGTCTGGTTTGTTGGGGGTGCTGGAGACCATCTGTCTTCACCTACACAGTGAGACTCAGTCCCCACACATCTCATCCCCTGGTGAGGAAAACACGTGTGTATGTGTCCAGTGGCTGTAACAGAGTGTGCTGAGCAAAAGGAAGGTCTATTTGTCACTGCTATGCCCTGTCCCCGTGCCACAGGGACTGACGTGGCTCCCGCTGCAGAAGGGTGGTGCTGGAGGTATCGCCTTGGTCAGTCTTGAGTCCCCCATGGGAGCTGGAACAGAGCTAGCGTTAGTCGTGGGCCTGCCCGTCTCCTCTGCCTGGGTGTTAACATCACCTTTTGAGGGGTACAGACTGCGCCTGCTCCACATGGACCCTGTGCAGAGATAATTCTCGAGCAGGCTGTCAGCCTCTGCTGCTGGCTCTCTTGAAGAGCTAACTGGTATTGCTTGAAAGCCACTTCTAGGGACGAGGCTGGAAATCTGCTTTCTCAGGCAATATTGCAGCACAGAAATCATGCAAATGCTCCTCATGGCATCTGAGACCTGCCTCTCTTTTTCTAGCCTCCAGAAACAGCGAGGAGCTCAGCGGCCTGGCCTTCCTGGATTGCAGCACCTTGCTCCTGTGCTGTGCCAAGGGGCAGCTGTGCCTGGCTGACATTCGGCAGCCCTTGGAGGCTGTGTCCGTCCCCTCGGCGCCGTGTGGCGAGCGGTGGTGCATGGGAGTCGGGCGCGGACCTCAAGGCTCTGACTCAAGCTCCCGACCCGTAGCTTGCCTGTCGAGCGGAGGACACCTCACCCTGACAGATGTAAGAAAAACTTCGGAGTCCATGGCCTCAGCAAAGTGCAGAGTTCCTTCTCCCAGCTCAGGTGCGGAGTTCCTGTGCATCTCCTGGGCTCCTGCTCTGGAAGGCTGCCTCGCCATTTCAGGTATGTGCTTTGGGCAGAGATCTCCTTTTCTGGATGCTTTTTTGATCTGTGTTTCTATCGAGGGCCAGTTCACCCCACCCTACTTTAAACACCCCAGTTAGGCAGTGGTTGTTCAGAGCTGCCCCTGGAGCCAGCAGAGATGCGAGCTGGTCATCCCCTGCAGCTGCCTCTCTCCAACAACCACAGAAGGAGCCTGGATGGATTCTGGGGGGCTCCTGCTTCCCTCCTGGGAGAATAAAGACCCCAAGCCCTTAGCAAACACTGCCTGATAGTGCCAGCGACGGCCTGGCCGCAGGGATGCTGCGCTGATAAGACCGGCTGGGCAGCAAGGCTGCCTCTTGGCCAGAGCATTGCAAATTCAGACTAGTGAATCTGCAAGCTGTTTGGATCTGGCCCGTGTTCTCCCTGGCAGCTGTTAGCTGGAGACCAGCTCCTCGGAGGCTTGGATGCTCTGCTGTCACAGGTTTTCAGTCTGGGCCTTTGTCCTCGTTTCTGTCTCAGCAGCCCTGCCGGGAGGTGAGCATGAGCCCAAATGGCCTAGAGCAAAGCAATTTACTTCTGTGGTCTCTCTAATTTCCTTTTATTCAAGGTTTTGATGGGACCGTGCACGTGTATGACGCGCGGAGCTGGGACAGCTCTGGCAGGGAAGCAGAGCCGATCTTTGTTCACAAAGGCCACGCGTTCGGCAGGCCGGGCAGCAGCGGAAGCCCTCCCCTGGTCACAACGCACGCATGGCATCCGCAGAAACCAAGAACTTTATTGTCAGCAGCAAGCGACGGTTCCCTGCACGTTTGGGACTGGGTTCAGTCTTGTGGGAAGTGTGGGTAGATGATACTTTCGGCGAGATGTGGTGTGTTTCCTGTCTATGTTCTGGTTTGCGTAGGCTGCGAGGTATCTGTTTGTGTGCAGATACTGGTTTGAGACAGTTGTAGTGAACAGAACCAACTGTAAAGAGTGCTATTTTAATATAGTAAAAATTTGGATTGTGTTACTTGTTCTCCTGTGTACCAGCCCTCAAACGATAGCTGTGTCTGTGTATTAGCCTGTAGTCCTGGTCGCGTCCGCTAGCGGAGAACATCCTGCCGTCATTTTATCGTAGACCCATGTTATCATGTCTGCACCGTACTTTTCTGAAGAAAATGGACAAAAAAAGCACGAGTACAGTTTGAGGAAACGGGCTATTCTGTGGCTTATTTAACCCGCTGTTTTCCAGGCCCGAAGCACCAAGGGGAAGGCTGTGCGCCCCGTGGGGTGTTGGCGTTTCATCACGTGTGTGTGTCACGAGTCGTGGCCTCCGCTCAGGAAGCTGCAGTGCCAGCGCAGCCTGCTCGCAGCCTGCGAAAGGAACAGCAACAACCTTTTTGGCCCCAGCCTGCTCCAAGCTTTGCCCTCCCCCTGTGTAACTGGAGAGCACCCAGCCTAAGAAAAGGCATTGGTATCTTTTGGCTCTTTTCCCACCAACTGAAAGTTTAAATTTGATCGAGCTAATGTGATTTCCTGGGCCTGAGGAAGCCAGGCAATGATTCTTGCAACGCCTACGCTGTTACCAAGGTGTTACTTGGGGCAGGGGGGGTGGGGGAACTGTCTGCTCGTTATCCCGAATGTGAAAACCAGCGCGTTTCATCCCGGAGCTGGGGAGGGAGGCGAGAACCGGGGCAGAGCCTGGCCGCGGGGCTGAGGGTGCTCAGCGGCAAAGCGGGGGACCCCTGCGGTTGGGAACTACTGCCCTGCTTCCCTCAGAGGAGGGGTGCAAAGGGCTCCCCGCTTTTCTGGGTGTAAGCTGAGGTGACGGGGGGGTGAGATGGGTGCTGCGGTGGGTGAGTTGGGGTGAAGGTTGTACTTGGGGAGGACGGTGCTTGAAGCAGAAGGCTTGGCGCTGGGAATGCGGTGTACCGAACTGCGCTGTGTCATGGCAACAGCCGTTTGCCTGCCGGTGCTGAGGCTGAAACCTGCTCCCATCTGTACCATAACGTAACGGGGGGAAGGAAACTCCACGCTGCTCACCTCGCAGGTCTCCTCCCAGCAAAACCCATGTGGGCTTCTTCCACTCCACCCCCAAACCTGTCCCTGCCTACGTGGCAGCGTGTGAAATGGGGGGAGCGTGTCCTGCCCGAGGCCAGGGGGTTTGGTGCTTTGTTACCTCCCAAAGCCGTAGGTCTGTGTCACCGCCAGCAGCGGCAGTCGCTGCACCAGCGAAGGAAATAAAACCCTGAGTGAGCCCAGGAGGAGCTGAGCATTTGTGCGGGAATGCCTGGTCCTCCTCTCCACCCCTGGAGGGTCCCCAGCAAAACCAGTCCAGCTGTGCCAATGTTGTACTGGGGTGAATGGGTTCTGGCCCGGGGGCCTGGGAGGGTTTCTGCCCCGGTGAGGGACAGCTAGGAGGGCTCCTGGCCTTCCAGTCCCTCGACATCTGCTGTTGAGTCTGTTCCTTCCCGCGGTGGGAGAGCACTGAGACCGCCGGGTTCATCAGTTGAGGAGGTGGCGTTTCTGGTCCAGGACCGGGATCAGGAAGAGCAGCGTGTGGGTGATGGGTGCACGGGCGTGGAGGATTCCCCAGGGGGGATCCTGGCACTCAAGGGATCTTTTTAAGCACCCGTGGGAGTGGGAAATTTGGCAAACGGAGGTGTGCAGCTCAGCTGCTGCAGCTCCTCTTGGCTCCTCCGCAACACACAGCCTTTAGATGGAAGCTCCCACCAGGGCGAGGGTCCGGCCTCGGAGGTGTGGGCTCTGGGGGGCAGAGATGATGGCTGGTGCCTTCCCAGCAACCAGGCTTCATCTTCCTCGCTGTCCCCTTTGCAGGGACGTGGTGGAGGAGCTGACAAGCAGAAGCAGCGGAGCCAAGCCTGTCCCTGTCCCACGTCACGGTGATGGAGGTAGCGCAGAGACGACAGGGAAGCAAACTTGCTTGGCTTTCTAGAGCAATGGGGCTTGAGCAATAGCACAGTTTGTACTCATCTAAACTTCCCTTTCCCCCCCCCTTCCCTAAAAATAACTTAAGCCTTCTTGTCCAGCTTGAACCAGATTTGACAGGGGACCAGAGATGTCCAAAATACTAAGTACTTGCAGCTGCCGTAGGAAGGGATTATGCACAGAGGCGAGATCTCCCTTTAAACGTGACGCTGGGGAACTCGCACGGGGTGGGAAAGGCGTTTCTCCCAGAAATGCATCACGTGGACCTGCCGGCAACGCCTGAATGTTTGATCAGAGACCCCGGTTGTGTGACTGGGGGGACCTTGGCCTTGCTGGAGCCAGAGTTGCCCTTGGTGGGGAAGGCTGGGGTGGCTCCTGCCCCCAGCCCAAATGCTGATGCCCCCAAGAAGGACCGATTTAAGGGTGGTCTCTCCTTCCCCACAGCATCAGTGTGGGAAGGGGCAGCTTCCAGCTGTGTTGGACGTGGATGTGTCCAACCTCTGCTCTCCCTGGGACCACGGAAAGGTCCTCCCGGACCCCTGTCTTCACTGGGGCAAGCTGGCCACCGAGCTTTGCTCTCTGGTCTAACCCCAGGGCAAGGCATCGCAGCTGGGGAGAGCGAGGGGGCTGGACACGCAGGGCTGGAGAGACATTTCCCGGCAGGGAGCGGATCCGGAATGGTGCTGTGGATGCTGGCCAGAGCAAGCTGTGCTCTGGGTTTCCCCTTCATTGCCTGCGAGGGGACAAACCGCAGCCCTTCTCTGAGGGTCTATCCCCCAATTCTGGCCCAGAAATGGGGGCGTTATTTGGCTCATCCCCCAGTCCTGGCTCCTCCTGCTCCCGGGGGAGATGAGCAGCTCACCGCAGCATCAGCTCCCCGCTGCCTGCGCACCAAGGTGGGGTGGTTCAGCCCCGGAGCTGCCACCGGCGCTGCTCCATGGACATCTCCCCCCACCCGGGACACCCACCCACTGCGGCGCTGGGGCTTGGGCCGTGGACAGAGATGTGCAGGCATTGCTGCGTCCTTCGAGGAGAAGCAGGGGCTTTCGGAGCCTCCATCCTCACTGCTCTCCCTGGCTCCTTCGCAGCCCCTTGCTGGGAAGACACGACTTCAGACCGAGCGCGGCAACAAGGAGGGGAGCTGCGGCGAGGGCAGGAGCTCGGTTTGCTGCACCGCACGGAGATTGCGAGAGCCGAGGCGAACTTAATGCAACTATTTTGTGCAACACCAGGGGCTGAGAAGAGGCCGATGCTCGCGGCGCTGCTGCCGACAGCGCTTTCGGAGCGTGCCCGGGTGTTTTTAAGGACTGGGGACTTCTGCTTCGAGGCCTTGCGTTGCTCTTTAGAACTGCTGGGCTGTATTTGTGGGGAGAAGATTGGCCCGGGCTGGCCTTGGCTGGATTCAACAGGGCAGCCCCTGTCTGTGCCTGTTCCCCCGCAGCTGGAGCATCCTCTGCGCCTTGAGAGGCCGGGACACCTCCATTTGCACCGAGGGCCATCCGGATTGCCCCATCCCACAGGACAGCGACACAGGGCTGGGATCCAGCTCCCGGCATCATCCCTGGGACTTGTTCCTCCCTTCTGCTACCCCGGGTACAAATGCACGGCACTGGTGAGACCTCAGCTTTTATTTACAGCTCTCCGGCCGCTGCGGGAGGCTGGGGTTTATGATGAACACTACGATGGTTGGTCTTCCGTCATGCTCGTGGGCATCAGCTCTGGGATGTACGGAGCCCGGCAGTGCCAACCTTTAGGGCACAACTTCTTAAACCATCAGCTCTGAGGAGTTCCTCAGCAGGACGCAGACTGGACGTTGCTCGTTTAACACGTCGCTCGTTAGCGCGCTGCGCTCGCTGGGTACCGCGTGGCCTTGCATTTCGTTTCCGAAATCACGCCCGGTCCCTCCTATAGGATACAGAAACCTTTGTCTTCTCCTCCCTGGCTCCCACTGGAACATCTGCCTGTCTCTGTGCCCCGGGGAAGGCTGCCATGGGTGCAGCGAGGAGGGGACGAGGAGGGACGGGGGGTGGCTCAGCGGAGCAGGGCCGGTGCCGCTGCTCACCCTGGTCCTCGGCAGGAGGAGCGGGATCCCCCACAGTGGCCGTGTCCATCTGCGCTGGTCTTCTAGGACGGCGTCGCAGGTGATGGAGAGAACGCCGGCGTTTCTGGGGCAGGGCATAGCCCGTTGTGAGAGCGACGTGGTGGTTCGATGCCTTGCCCTGGACGTCTGTCTCCGCTGGCAGGGAGCCCAGGCAGGGCAGGCTGAAGCTGCCTTGGTGCTTTCTCACCCAAATAACCGAGAATTCAGATGTTGGTGAAGAGCAACGAGGGTGCCGGGGCGGTGGGAGGTGGGCAGATGGTGCCCGGGCAGGCGGCTCCCCTGTGCTCCCCCAGCTAAGAGACAGCTCGGGCCGAGTCCTCTGGCGTTTTAGCATCGATTTGTGTGGGTTCTGCTACAGCCCGGCGCTCGCAGAGCGCACACAAACACGCCGACATTTGGTGTGAGCCGAGGCCGGGAG